TGTGTCCGGCTGTTGTCGAGTGGGTACCGGGTGTAGTGGTTATCAGGCTTCTTTCCTATCCGTGGGGTCACGAGCTCCAGTCTCGGCTATGCTGACTGAGTGGTGTTCCTTAGTCGCTCGACCCGAACACCCTAAGTAGGCCACGACCATATGACATACTCTCATACATATCATTCGCAATGAACCTGCCACAACATAGTGCAAAACATATGAAGATGACAAGTAACTGGAGCACAGCGTCATAAAGCAATGGAATCTTTGGAGATGAAGGACCGGAGCCCGAAGCTGACCACTCGACCTCAAGTGTGTGTTGTGATGGTGAATGAATGGAGTTTTGCCTTTACGTGCTCTATACGCTTCTATGCATTGATTTGTAGTTTGCGAATATTCAGGGATGCACTAGTAATATATATTAGTTTATAATATCTTAATAGCTTTATGCTCTTATAATTAATATGAAACTTCATTAGGTAAGTAGCGCTGATCTAGTTGATGAAGTGAGGACTCGAAAAGGTGGCTCAGTCGGTAACGCTTCCGATTTGTATTCGGGGGGTGCTCGGTTCGAATTGGGGCAGGAGCATTGCCTATCCTGAATGAAAATTTTCTTGGATTTCCTCAGCGACTCCATGAAGATTCCGGTTTCGCACGTGTAATATTTTTCAGATCTCGAATCGCTGTCATTCAAGCAATTTGAGCTACTCGAGGCTTCATTTAACAAATCACAAACAAATCAAATAAAAGAACACTAGACACGATAGGAGGGACATACATGCAGACACACAGACTGGTGGGAAGGATTTATGATGTACGCCCCTGAAATGAACTCAGGTGCCATGATGTACACACCAGGTTTCATAAACATGAGTTCAGCCGTGCAGAAGCTGATGGGGGCGGGGAAGATACACAGACAGCATGGAGATCGCATATGCCTACTTTCATTTTTTGAAAATAAGGAAAGTGGGCTAAACAGGGGCAGCTGCCACTAGGCTTTTGCATAGAAACACCAAGTGACAGCGAACTAAGCAGAGCAAGCGAAAGACGAGCTCAGATGCAAGTGTACAACCCTCCCTCCACCCTATCGCTCTACCCAGGCTAGCCAGCACTGCTGCAAGCCTTGAGTGAAGTTATCGCCAGTCCATCCGTTTCTGCAGATCAAATAACATGCAGCAGCGCTGTGAGACGCACAAATCCTGCAAGTCAGAATTGTCGCAGGGAGTTGGAACGTGAGAACCAAGTCTAAGGAAATCTCCCAAGAAGAAATTCACGTCACCGTTAACTACCAACGTGTCTACCTCTGTTTGATGGACTGACCCAAACGAATGCACTTCAAGTAGCCACCGTAGCTTACGCTAATTCTCTCTTGTCCCTTTACTTTCTCTTTCTTTCTCCCTCCGCCATTCATTCTTCGTCTTCTTTTTTTTTAATTTGCTTAGTAGGGGGTTGAGTTCAGCTGGGTCCTCTCGGCACGGTGGTCACTGATTAGCCTAGTGTACCTGCCCCGAATGATTATGATGATGGCGAATTACGAGGAATGAAAATTGCCAGGGGAAACCGAAGTACTCGGAAAAATCCGCCCCAGCTCCACTTTGTCCACCAGAAATCCCATTTGACCAGACCCGGGAACGAACCCGGGCCACCGCGGTGGGAAGCCAACGACTAACCGCTTGAGCAATGGCGCAGCCTTAGTCTTCCTAATGTCTCACATTCGACGCCATGAAGTACGTATTCAGCGGTACTCAGTATTTGTTTCGAATTCTCGGCGGACTGCAGGCAATCCAGAGATTTCGTTCGGTACAAGCTACGCAAAATTAAGTTCATACTACATATACAATATATGTATAAACACAGGGGAGAGGCGTCTCCAGAGTTCCTATATATCTGAGAGCCATTTCTAAAAGTATGAGTGGAAATAAAAACCAAATTACCTCTCTTGAGGAATTTGCTCCTTTCAAAGTTTTCTTAAAAAGTAGGCAAGAGTAGCGTCTCGTGTGGAAGTTATATCAATTTATATATATATATATATACTTCCCTTCTTATTTACTAATGGAGCTGAGCCCTTCTTGAGAAGCCGCCACTGGTTTCTATCCTGAGCCAGATCAATCCAATCCATACCATCCCATCCTACTGATTACTCTCAGGTAAGGGTAGTCTATTTTTTTACTGCTATACATAGTCTGCAGATCTATAAATAAATATAAGACCACTGATAGACGTTTTGTCTTTACTTACTTCTGAAGCAATGGCTCCTCATAGGCGGTGTGCAGCTGAAGCAGCAGATGGGGAGGACGACACTGCATGGCGCTTGTCCAGACAGAAACTCGACAATTTCTATCCCTCTGAAGAGCAGTTCCATCCCTCACATTTCTCAAGGACTGCCAACAAACAATACCAATCATATAATTCCTTACAGAATCATACATTACAAAGTAGCAGTAAAACCATCCGTGTAACAGGTCGTGGAGGCCCATTGGGTTGTTAGATGTTGAGGTTCCCACATTTTCTAGACAATCGGCTCATTGATTTCGACAAGGTTGGCAGTCCTACGCGCCGGCCGCCCTTTACCCCCAAGGATATTCCAAGAATATTCCTGGTACTCATTTCTGTTAGAGGGTGAGTCGACCCCAGAGCCATAGTGCGGCTGGAAGGATTAGGTCAATTGAAAAAAATCCAATGACCTCATCGGGACTTGAACCTGTGACCTTCCGGCTTGTAGCATAGTACCTCAACCAACTACGAAACAGCGTGCCCCCACATTACAACGTATTTCCTAAAGTTTTGTCAGGAAAAGGATGAACACAGATTGCATGGTTCAAGCTGACTCTCTGCTCCACTACCTTAAATAAAAATCCCTTTCTTGGATGTGCACTACCAAATCAGTATGCATACGTAAAGAATATTCTCCCCCCAAAATCGATATGATACTATACCGCTACAGCTGAAACGCACAGAAATTTGTTCATTTGCTAAAATAGCATGTGTCCTGCTTCGCTCGTGGTACGTCCTTTAAGACAAGTGGTAAACACGCAGTATATAAACCTACCTTAACGACATATTAATGGTGAGGACTGAACACTTTGTTCTGTATATCAACAACTTAATTTCTTTCCATCAGGAAAATCACTAAAATTGTTCTTATAAATTCGTAAGGACTGACACAAACATACTATGAATACACTCATTCTCACTTGCTTGCAAAATTTTATTTTCATACGTTTTGTCAACGTAGTACTGCTTCTCTAGATGTCACAGAATTTCGCACCTTTTAGCTTGTTTTTTTTTTTTTTATTTAAAGTATTGAAAACTCCCGCCCGTAAATCCCACAAGCGCCACCTCGCAAATCGGTTACCGTGGATTGATTCGGAGATTACAAGAATTCTCCGATTTCACTGCCATCTGTAACAGTGACCAAAATCTCTCATGGTAGTATTGCCGGCGTCGGTAGCTTAGCTCGCGTTGCGCCATCTTTCTGTCTCTTAGTACTCGAGCAGAAGGTTTTAATTGAAACTTTGGCAAACAAGGAGAATATCATTAGGGACCCTTTGAGCTGAGCTAACCGAACATAACGTAACAAAACAAAACGAACAGTATGTAACGCTGTGTAATGCAGTACAAGTTCACCGACGTTTCGGAGGATTATAATGCCTCCGTATTCTGGGTCGAAGGGTAAGCCAAATACGTAAGTAGCCAATACAAATAAAGCGGCAAGTAAAGTCTTACTTCTCGTTCGGCTTACTCTTCGACCCTGGAGATGGAAGTATTAGATTTGCACGAAAAGTCAATGAACTTCTACTAGATTACACAGCGATACATACCACTGCTACGGGAACTTCAAATACAACAACAAAAAACTACGACTCAGACTGAGATTTTGGGGTGATGACAACGCGTAATCCAGTAAGAGGTTATGACCTTCTGACACGATCTGCTGCCTCCATGTGGACTTCGACCGTGAAGATCGAGTAGGCAGGATCATCAGAAATGTTGGTAGCCACCAAGGAAACTAGAATCTAAATCTTCATTGCCGTCAAACCTTCGATGTTACTGCGACATGCAGTAGTACAAGTGTAGCAAAACGTCCCGTGTCCCCAAATCAGTTTCGGTAGATCTTCTTGTGGGTTATGTACGACGCTCTCATAAGTTGGACTATGTAGACTGAATGGCACGTAGGCAGACAAATACAAAGTCTGAAGAAAGTCGTCTTCTGGTTTTAGGCGCCGTGTAGTCTTCGTTTTGGCCGACGTTTCGGAGGAACCTATCGCCTCCATCTTCAGAGCAGTTGAATGGCTTGGAAAGGATTCGGAAAGTAGAGATTGTGGCCAAATCGAGGTAGCACCCCGGAATTTGCCTGGAGGGGCTGAGGGAAGCCACAAAAACGAAAACTTGGCCAGGTTTCGAAAAGAAGACCCCCAGAATACGAGTTAAGAACTTTATCTCTACGCCTACTCTGTCGGTGGTACACACTATTTCGCAAAACACTTCTGTGAAAACAAATTTTTCCTAGAATACTGGAAATAAAAATGGCCACGGTACAACTTCCGTCAACATCTGTTTCCGTAGAAGCCCTGGTGTTGTGAAGAATATGGACTTCAACCCTGTAAGCAGAGATAACCTGACCTAACCTAATACAACCAATCACCGCTGAATTGTTTATGGCCTGTACAGATTTCCACGACAAGAGTCATGGCTTCCGGCAAGGAGGGAGCAACCCAGGCATCTGCTCCCTTTACATTTTTTTTAAATAAATCATAATAAATATAGAAAGAGATATATTAAATATAGTAATAAAATATTAGGAGTTATTTTCAACTAAATCTATCCTTCTATCCTGAATATTCATAGGCAATCAATAAAAATAATATCAAACAGCTTAGACCCAAGTTGGTAAGCGCATTTTCTGGTTTTAACGCTTATTAGAAGTTGCGGACTGGCAGCGATCCGTGGTCCACCGGCTGAGTAACACTTCTCTGCAGATCACCGTTTGCTAACGTGGCTGGCTACCTTGACACTTGTTCACCTGCAAAGTAGGAACACTTCTTGACAGCGGTACTGACTCGGGCAGAACATTTGCCTACTAGTGGCAGTAAGTGACAGTTGTTTCGCGGATATCTCCAGGCATTTGCGTATTTCTTGCAGGTTGGTCATAAGTGCATGCATATTGAAGTTCATTATAATCATCAAGCCTCTACAGGGCCTGTGACAACAAGGCGGATGTTAATCCGCCTTAAACATTTAAAGCACAGTGGTTTCTATACGCACCGCCTGATTTAACATTATAATACTCTGCGTTTTGACCTTACAGTGTGTTTATGTGTTTCGCATGATTCTCAAAATAAAGTGTGACTATTTCTCTAAAGGTAAAGTTGTCCCTATGCTTAATTAATTAATCAATCACTACTCCATGAAGGAGTATAGGGGAGTGGATGTAGAAGTCCACATTTTCTTAACCTTGGCACTAGTTGTGGTTGAGTGGTCAGCTTCATGTCCAGGCCGCTTTACCCCCTGGAAAGAGCTCCCGGTACCCATTGTATAGGAGGTTGGGTGAGCCGATCTGGACGACACGGAGAAGTGAAAATTGTTGACACTACCGGGAATCGAACTCGGACCTCTCAGTCGTTCAGCCCGTACCCAGTGCTATACTGACTAAATGTTGGGACTACAAGGTTCTTGAAGATGTAGGAACAAGTTCTCTTTCCTTTTAATTCGTTTAGTGAGGGGTGGAGTCCTACTGGGTCAACTCGGCACGGCAGCCACTGATTGGCCTATTGTAGCCTGCCCCGGGTGATTATGATGATGGATAATTTTATGGAATGAAGATTGGGAGGGGAAACCGAAGTACTCGGAGAAAACCAGCCCCAGCGCCACTTTGTCCATCACAAATCCCACTTGACCAGACCCCGGGATCGAACCCAGGCCGCCGTGGTGGGAAGACAGTGACTAACTGCTTGAGCTATGGCGCGGCCGAGGAACAAGGTTACTCCGAATCGTCGGTATTTTTCTATTCACCAGTCTATAGGGAATTATATTGTTGGAGACAATAATGTTCCGGGGTAACTTATTACAATTTACTTCTCAGTTCATATTGCGCAGATCTGTGGACATGTAACGCTAGGCCCTTGGAGCACAGAGTACCTATACATACGCCTGCTTACACTGGACCAACTTTTCTTATTTAAAGACATTCACAAAGTCCAAAAAGGTAAAGCTATCTCTGTAACAAGCCGTGGAGGCCCATAGGTTTGTGAGACGTCGAGGCTCCCACATTTTCTAGACAATCGGCTCACAGTTGGCGGTGAGGGTGTCAGCCTTACGTGCCGGCCACATTTACGCCCATGAAGATTCCGGGTACTCATTTGTGTTAGTGGCTGAGTCGACCCCAGGGGCATAGTGTGGCTGGAAGGATTAGGTAAACTGAAAAAAAAAAGATCCATCGACCTTATCGGGAATCGAACCCGTGACCTTCCGGCTTGTAGCATAGTGCTTCGACCAACTAGAAGGTCTAAACCCGTCGAAATATCGACATATGCCTTTCAGCATCACAGTGCTCTTCCACATATACAGCGTACCTCAGAGAGTAGAGAAGAAGCTATTTGAATCAAATAAAACTGCTTGACTGTGAGTGTTCTTCTGGAATAGAAGTTATGGCAAGCCTGGTCTAGCATTGGGAAATCCAACTCCTTGGTAAATGGAATGCATGCACGGCTTTCCACTTCAATCTCCTAGATTTCACTGCTCTAACAATAGCAGGTGGGTGTGCATGCCAGGAGTTTCCTCGTTATACAAACCTGAATTTCCTATTTACATCCTTCTTGGATACTTATACTCATATCCTGTAACTTATATTCTTTCCTGGAAGTATCAGACAAGATCTGAGTTAACTTTATAATAATTTTGAAAACAATTTGGTGTGTATTCTTCATAGCGTCTTCACCCATTGAAGCAAGACTCTGAGAATTGGCAAGGAACCAACCTGAAGGTCTTGTAGGTCAGTTTGAAGCCTGGAAATTATCCAGAACATGAGCAGTGCTCATTAACCTCAGCGTCCATGAACAGATTCGTGGATTTACGTTGCACATTTAAGTCCGAAATTCATCTAAATTATATTTAAAAAGCGAGTTTCTACCGCACAGAAAACAGACTGTGCCACCAGTAAGAATTCCCTTCGTTTAATGGTGCTTAGGACATTTCTTCTGAGAATAATATGAAATATGCAGAGTTCTTATTGTTGCAGAAAGTGGAACATAATTACCATTGTGCTTTGAAAGGCTAACGGCACTATTACATTTACAACAGAGAAATGTTACCTATTACGAATAAGCTAAGTTTGTTTATGCAGTTCTTAAATGTAGTTGTACCAGCTATTGAGATTGTGCGGCACCGGGTGAGGTACGGGGCCGTTGAGTAGCCTACCCAGAATTATAGGACCGTAACAAAGAAATGACGATAATTTGGAATTTTCCACTCTATACAACTATATAAATGCATATACATAACGCAGTGGTTCTCGAAGTGTGATCCTCAGACCCCTAGGGATACGCGAGGCCTGGCTAGGGAGTCAGCAAGAAGCAGGTAGCAAGCAGCCTGCTTCGGCGCTGAAGATGGAAGCGACATATCCCTCCGAAACGTCGGTTCACTTTCAACGGATTACGTGACATGATATATCAGATGAGAGAACTGTTCGTAACCACCGATGTGAGAATCTCAAATCCCGTGAAACAGTGTGAATTCTTTAATTCTGGGAAACATAACAAATTCACTCTGTTGCCAATATGCCGGTTCGCTCCACTGAGGGTGGGCCACATAGCGAGCATGGCATATGAAACGTTCAAGGCACAGACACGCCCAGCTGAGCAGGAGTGCACAAGAAAAAACACATAGAATAAGCAGTCATGTATGAATGTTGGCCTGCTCTTACCTGCTAGCTAGAATGGTCTGTCACGTTTTCCGTATTAATTTTCTTACACCTCTAAGAAAGAAAAAGCGTCGTGCTCATAAATACTGCTGCCTACAGGATGTCCCATCTAAAGAGACCGCAATCTTAACCTGAGGTACCAAAGAGACCGAGAGGGCATGCGGTACCGTAATTACTTGAGGCACTATGCCCCAAGGCGGAAAGTTACGAACTCCATTACCGATGAGGTCACTGAATTTTTCAATTAACCTAACCCTCCCAGCCGCACTATGTCTCTGGTGTCAACTCGGCCTCTAACAGAAATGAGTACCAGGAATATTACTGGGTTAAAGAGCAACCGGCACGTAAGCTTGATAACCTCACCGCTATCTGTGAGCCGATTGTCTAGAAAATGTGGGAGCCTCGACGTCTCGCTACCCTATGAGCCTCCACTGTCTGTTACAGGGATACCTTTACTTTACTCTTTTGTTATCTACCTACCTATCTATGGCTCTACGGCCTTTTGTTGGACCTTGGCCGCTTTTTCAGTTTCTTAATCCTATACATAGTCGGTAGAACTCCTTGGACGGGGGATCAGCCCCGTCGCAAGGCTGCTGCCTACATATAGAAGAACACAAACGCATAATAAACGCATACAGACATCTATGTCTTGAGTGGGATTCGAACCCAAGATCCCAGAGTTCAAGCGAGCGAAGACGGTTCATGCCTTAGACCCCGCGGCCGCTTTATTTTACCTAGTTATACGAAAAGTGGGGTCTTGATTAGGTGCTATGCACCGTGAAATTTGTTTAGTGGGTCACAGCATAGTGATATAGCATGAAGTTGTAAAAATGAAATCATGTAACTGATATTTCTGAAATGACCTCGCTACGTGAAACACTGCAATGCAAGGCAATTCGTGAAATATAATAGAACAGGGGTGGACAAACTGTGCCCAAAGAAAACCTTCAGTAAATTCCGAGGCTTTGCTCAATAAATTTCTCTCGCACAGTAGTGTATAAACACAGATAAAATATCGTAAAAGCTATGTTCTGTACGAGGCGGGGCGCGTCATACGCCCTTAGTCAACCTTATGAAAGAAAATCCTTATATAGATACGTCTGAACTTCGCATCTGCTTATGAATACCGGGTAAGGTAAGATGTAAGTAAAATTATCTATGTAACAGGACTTGAAGGCCCATAGGGTTGTGTGAGGTCGAGGCTCCCACATTTTCTAGACAATCGGCTCACAGATGGCGGTAAGATAGTCAGCCTTACGTGCCGGCCTCCCTTTACCCCCAGGAAGATTCCTGGTACTCATTTCTGTTAGAGGTTGAGTCGACCCCAGGGCCATAGCGCTGCTGGAAGGAATAGAGCAATTGAGAAAAGAATCCACCTTATCGGGACCCGAACCCGTGACCTTCCGGCTTCTAGCATAGTGCCTCAACCAACTACCGGGAGTATGTCCAAGTAGAATCCGATAACTCTGTACGGAAGATTTAGTGGTCACTACGTCACTGATGGCTCCGCACATGCGTTCTCATAGCAGATGGAGTATAAAAACAAGAGAAAATGATGTTACATTTGGGTAACCATTAGGCATGACTGAAGGATTAGAATCCGCGTTAGTGACGCTCCGCATGTGAATCTCTTGTGGCGCGGCAGATATCAAGACGAGGTTCTGTCTTGACCTTTGTTACTACAATAACTGCGATCATTTGTCTTTGAAAACAAGAAGGAAGTGAAGTTTTCAACAATATGTTTCACCATCGTCTTTTAGTAACTTTTTTTTAAGCTACTCTGCATGAACAATCAGAACGATCAAATTAAGGAGTATGGGATGGGTAGGGAATGTAGAACGCATTTGGGAGAAGAGGAATGCTTATAGGATTTTGGTGGGAACGCCAGAAGGACGAGAGACCCCTAGGAGTATCTAGAGGTAGGTGGGAGGGTAATATTAAAATGGATCGCAGAGAGATAAGATGGGTTCTTGTGGACTAGATTGATCTGGCTTAGGGTAGGGAACAGTGGAGGGCTCTTGTGAACACGATAATTAACCTTCGGGTTCCATAAAATGCTGCGAAATTCTTGAGTAGCTGCATAACTGACGGCTTCTCAAGAAGGGCTCAGCTCCATGGAGTTAGTTCCTGTGTATCAACAATTTCCAGGCTGTTGGACCGTAAGAGGTAGCCCTGTTTCATAGGCCCTGGATCTAACATTCATCACCTAGCAACTTGGATCAAACGGTACTCTTGGCTTCTATTTGGAAGTCGAGCCGTTCGAATCTCGCCCGGGGCACTGACTCTCTCGACCATAAATTTCGTGTTATTCTTTAGTCCCTACAAGAAAATAGGGGGACAGAAATGTAAATTAGCCCATGACAGCTTCCGTCTGTATCCTGTCCAATTCACTGTTCGGCGGCGTATTGTCTGAGGTCCAACAGAGTCCCTAAATAAACTACAAAAACACTCCGTGACCTGTAGTCCGCAAGCGAACTATACCGACCGAGCGACCGCCGCTTGTCGGAGAAGTTAGTGCAAAGTTTAGTGGATAGAGGGTGTCACGTGGTCAGCGCAACGGTTCCCCTCGGCCTTTAATCTCGGTCTTCTACAAAGAAGTAAAATTCAGCGTTCATTTTCTTTAGGTTTTTGTGGGTAAACCTATAAAAAAGGCGCAGTTATGGAGCCGTTGCAAACACAGAAAATGCTGAAATATTAGAACCCGGGATTACGGTAGGTACTAAAATAATAACACTATAAATTGTCGATTGATTGTCATCTCATATCTGTCGCAATACAAGAGATACACATGCGAAATATTACTAAAGTGAATTCCAACCCTGTATCGCCATTTTCTGTGTTGTTTCATTATAGTATATATCATAAACGCAAAGCTATCCCTGTAACAGGCCGTGGAGTCCCATAGGGTTGTGAGACGTCGAGGTTCCCACCCTTTACCTCCCTGGAAGATTCCTGGTACTAATTTCTGTTAGAGGCTGAGTCGACCCTAGAGCCGTAGTGCCGCTGGATGGATTGATACTACTGACAAATCCAATGACCTCATCAGGAATCGAACCTGCGACCTTTCGCCTTGTAGCATAGTGTCTCAACCAACTACGTTGCCGCATGCCCCCACTGTACCGACAGTAATTATAACGATCATGTAAAAAAAATTGCTGATTTCTTCAGCTTGCAGAGTACACATCGGCAGGCCTCGCTAATTGATTGGAAGATAGCAGAGGGACTGAGGAGAAGCGCAGAGAAGCTACTGTGTGACCTCGTACTACTAGCACTATTCATCTAGGCGCAGTTTGTGACTGTGTTGACAAACGCCATGCCGCAAGCCCTGCCACACGAGGCAGCGAGTGCCTCGATTGAAGGCCGAAAAGAATACGGAATGGGCGGCAGCTCGTTCGGGTGAGTTAACTCTTTATTATTAACCCGTTTTCCTTTCTTAATGAAAGAAAGTTGAGTTACAAGATCGAAATTCTCTATGTATATCACACCTTCTATCATTTGAATAAGCTGGCCGATATTCACGAAATTTGGTATAAACGTTAGACTATGGTTCTAGGAGGGTGGAAGAGACACGAGGCTAGAAAAAATGGAATAATATGACGATTTGTCATTTGTATGTGACACACATACATCAGAAATGCGCCAAATATTTTTATGCAAGTCTAAAGTAAGATATCTGCTGGAACACCTTGGCGTAGATGGAAGAATAATATTAAAAGGGGTCTTAAAGAAATTAAGCGAGAGGATGTCGATTTGAATAACATGGCTCAAGAAGGGACCAGGGGTGTGTTCTTGTGGATAAGATTAGTGAATAGTACTATCTTCTAGGATATAACACCGTGTAGTACTTTCGAGTTAATGGACGTTTTGGAGGAAAAAATCGCCTCCATCTACAGGGTTTAGGAATAAGCCGAGTAAGATACCAGCGTGAAAGCTTGACGCCTGCTTTCACGCTGGTATCTTGCCTGGCTTATTCTTCAACCCTGAAGGAGGCGATCTTTTACTCCGAAACGTCGGTTGACTTTCAACGGACCACAAGGCGTTACACTCCAAGTCCAAGTCACATTGCGACTGACAGTCCGTCAGTCTGTCTGTCTTGGTGTCGAGCCCCGACTGGGGCTCATGACCAGATTTTTTATCTTTCTTTTCTTTTTTTCTTATATGAAAGTTACTGTCCTGCTCATTTGGGGCGCCCTCTCTGACGAGAGGTCGGGTCTGTCATTTGTCAGTCGTAGTCCGTATTAGTATGTCCATTGTCAGTATTTACATATATTTACATTTTTAATCTCATTTCCTATTTCTATGTACAATATATACAAGCCTCTGTCAATCCAGGCTCGGTACAGCAGATTACGCCCTATTTTTAGTAGTACTCGCTACCACGGCAGTCTAGTCACTTGAACGGTCATATGCCTGACTCCAGAAGTCAGTACTCTTCATAATCACCGCTAACGGACCGCACGGAAAACATCTCCATTATTTCGCGTTCTCCCGTTGTCGGGGAAACAACATGTCCACAGAGATGTTCCCTAGCAACGGCTGTTGTAATGTCGCCAGTTTACGCAGCTGTTAATTGGCAACGAGTCTACATGTCACAGTATTGTCCTCTAGAACATTAACTGTAGATTTTAATTAGAATTTCTTATATCCAGTTTTTTTTCAGAGCAATTAATTTGCGTAATTTATAATTATCATTTAAAACATAAGCAACGAGTTATTTCCCTTTGGCCTTGGTTTTTTCCTGTCATCTGAGCGATTTGTGTCTTTGTGTGTGGATTTTCCAAGCTGCAATTACATTAACTCTCCTAATAGTATGCATCCTGTTGTGTGGTACAAACAAGGTACATAAAATGTATACAAAAGTATGCAGTCTACACAACAATACTCTGTATTTTAAATACAAATACATAAAATATATACAAAATATATAGTCTACACAACAATATTCTGTATTTAAAATACAGAATATTGTTGTGTAGACTGCATACTTTCGAATAAATTTTATGTGCTTTGTCCATTAACTCTGTATAATTCTACATTCTATGAAAAGTACTATCTTCTGGGAGGAACGTACAGCCTCTATCTTCAGGGTTGAAGAGAAAGTTAAAAAAAACTAGCGAGAATCAAGCATGCCGTCCTGCTGGCTTTTCGCTTCTTTCTGATTTCTTGCTTGGTTTACTCTTCCACCCTGATGATGGAGGCAATAAATTCAACTGTAACGTTGATGAACCTCTGGACTACATAGCGTCACATTCCATAAGATGGCGTCCTTCAGAGTTATCGCCGTAGGACTAACATAAAAGAAATACCTTGTCATTTCCTGTTCACCTACTTTTTTTTGTCATGTTCATTCCACCTATTTGTGTCTGTTGTGTATGAGCTCTCCACAGGCGTGTTTCCATGAACTTAATACATATTATATCGCCTATTAATCTATACCGGAACTTGTATTTCATGATCATTTTAGAGTGCAGTGCCTGCAATAAAACCTTGAAGGTGCATTACCTGTACCTTGCTAATTGAAGATTAACTGCGTAACACAGTCAACATGTGTTGCTCAGTAATGAACATGAGAAACGCGCAGGTAAAAGGTAAAATTATCCTTGTTACAGGCAGTGGAGGCCCATAGGTTTGTGGGACGTCGAGGCTCCCACATTTTCTAGACAATCGATTCACAGATGTTGGTGAGGTTGTCAACCTTAGGTGCCGGCCGGCCGGTTAGAGGCTGAGTCGACCCCAGGGCCATAGCGCGTCTGGAAGGATTAGGTCAATTGAAAAATCCAATGACCTCACCGGGAATCAAACCCGCGATCTGAGAGTACTGCTACAGATTACATTAACACTTTCAACGTTGAGTTTCATCTTGAAATAAATTCGTGCTTTGTTCTTTTAGGTTGGAGTTTTCATCAGAGCAGGAAGTTAATTAATTTCTATTGTTGTTGAAGAAGGTCGCCACTGCGTTCTCAGGTTGCGAGAGGTGGTGATGGCCTCCAGGTATGTAGCTGCGAATGTATTGAATAAAGAGCTGAGGGCAGCCGACAAAGAGGTGTCCTCCAGCAAGAGGATTGAATGGAAGACTAACATCTCTTCACTGCAAAAATCAGCACGCTATGACTTGTAATATTTGAGCTGACTATGAGGACTACAGTCTTCTAGTATGCTATGTCATATGGCTTGATTGAGAGGTAATAGCGTTTCGAAGGAGTTGAACACCAGGTATCTTTCTGGGGGTAAAGGGCGGCCGGCCGGAGCGTAAAGCTGACATCCTCTCCACCATCTGTGAGCCGATTGTCTAGAAAATTTGCAAGCCTCGACGTCTCCACCCTATGGGCCTCCACGGTCTGTTATAGGCATAGATTTACTCCACCTCAACGCCATCTGTGAGCCGATTTTCTAGAAAATGTGGAAGCCTCGACGTCCCAACCTCATGGGCGTCCAAGGCCTGTTACAGGGATAACTTCACATTCAGCAAGTTCCTCAAAAATACTGTGCCTATTAACAAAACCACAAGGTGTTGCATCCGAGAAGATAGTAATCTTCATATTATTAACGCGGTAATGAGCTTTTGGGTTGCCTAAAAGAATGTGAATTTCTGGAGTAGCTAAACCAATTATTAACTTGTCACACAGCAGTCTAGTGAATGCAATTTGCTAATTAAGGACGCCGAGAATTCCCTGCGAAGCATGCAAGGGACGGGATGCGTGTATATTAGTGCCTCGACAGTAATGTTTCTTCGTCTTCTGATTCTTAACTTACACAGAAGATGTCACTAGGAATATTGATTTGACGTAGCTGCCATCTGTTATCAGGAGAGCAGACTATGTGTTTGAGCATTTAAGATCAGGCTTACGATCCTAGCGACGTGTAGACGACTTTATTATGGAGCTGAGCCCTTTTGAAAAGCCTCCAATTGTGCAGCCACTCACGAATTTCCCAGCATTTTGTGGAACCCGAATGTTCATATGCATTTCTATTCTCCTCCATTGGTGCTACATGCCATGCCCACCTCAACCTCATTGACTTGATCATTCTAATTGTACTTGGAGAAGAGTTTTCTCCAACCTCCTGTCACTTCATCCTTCTTTGGTCCAAATATTCTCCTCAACACCCTGTTCTCAAACACCTTCAGTCCATGTTCCTCCCTTAATGTCAGAGACAAAAAATTTCACACCCATACAGAACCAAAGGCAAAATTATAGTTTCGTATATTCTAATTTTTATGTTTTTGGACAGCAGACTAGAAGACAAAAGGTTCTGGACTGAATGGTAGCAAGCATTACCCGAGTTCAATCTCCTCTTAATTTCCTCCTAAATCAGGTTTTGATTTGTTACCGTCGTTCCTCAAATATCTGAACTGTGCCCTGCAGCTGAGACTTCTGCCTGTGTGAAGATTAGAGTATGTCACAATGTTGAGCCCAATGCAAGTTTGTTAGTATTATATGTGTCCGTAGATACGCTACTGAAGCTTCAACAAACAGGCCTGTACCCTTACATTTAAGAGTAACATGTTTTTGCTTCAGTTCTTCGATAGTTACTAAACTGAAACTAAAAAAAAAAAATCACGCTTCCCAGAATGTTCGACGATGGGTTGGGCCCGTCCTGGAAATTTTGGAAGAGAAGACGTTGCGTGGTCGCTGTTCTCGCCTTCTTCGGCTTTTTCAGTGTGTACGCACTCCGCGTCAACCTCAGCGTCGCCATTGTTGCCATGACGACTCTCAGAAACGAGACACTGAAGAATGGCACAACCATTCTTGTGAGTCATTGTATTTCTTTGTGAAAATTATACTGATTTGGCACCTCGTGCCCGTGAAGTATTCAAATATCTGTGGTGGATGCTTCAATCCAGACATCATTTTGCCACCAGATCACTAGTACCGGAGGGATATAAAACAAAAATTTTCTCTGTGCTCTGTTCAATAAGATCTCTAACGTTTTTCTTTAAGTCAGCTGTACACTAATGTTGTTTATACGTCAAAGCGTTTGTTGAATTCGTCTGTGCTAACAAAGGAATTCACAGGTCGATTAGATATTCCTTGCAAAACGCATCAGTTAGATGTTTTATTTATATGCGCCATAAATCCTAAGTTTGAAGTTTCTCAAATCGAAATAAACTTTATCCTTTTTCGAACAAAATTCATTTCTTTCTTCTTCGTGAAGCATTGTTTACCAAATTCACTCAAACTGTACACACAACCTCGTGTACAACTGTTACGAATTACGAAGAGTATCTCAGTAGCTACAGCTATATTTTTCAACTTTCGAATTGCGTCATCAGACTACAACAGACATATTCTATATATTAATGTTGTCATTTGATAATACTGAGATTTTCCGTCATTTGACCTGAATTTGAAATTTATATACGTCTGCGTAAAATTAAATATTAATAAAATACACAAGTCATCATATTCTTTGACCATTTCTAATATCTCACGCCCCAGTTTGAATATTATTTATTGCTGATGGCCAGCGAAGGAAACAGCAAATGCCCCATTCCCGTGGACGTCCGCAAAACTGACGGGAACATACGTGTATCTGGAGCTGAATAAATTGTTATTCTGCGTCCAAAACATCTCTGAGAGCGCGTAATCATAATATAATGACGCATATCATTACATCAGTAGAAATTTAGTAGACTCTTTTCAAAATACAACGGAAAACTAAATCACCATATTGTGGAGATCTGGCTGGACACACAGGATTTCTCCTCCGGAAGACTGGACAACATATGTCGCAGGCATGGGAGAAAAGAAGAGTGCATACAAGGTTTTGGTAGGAAAACCTGAAGAAAGATCTAGACGTAGAAGGGAGGGCAATATTTTAGAGAAAAAAAGATGGTGAGCGCTAACTTGATACTTGTGGCTGAGAATAGGGACTAGTAACGGGTTCTTGTTGAACATGGTTGTGTTAGTTAGTTAGTTAGTTAAGACTCGGAATTACTGGGTTTTTGGACTTCGTCCATCGTCCGATATTCAGTAAGTAGAAAACAGAACGTTTCGGAAGCTGGATTTGTTTCCGTCTTCAGGTGAGCGGGGCAAGACACTGTTGGGTCCTTTAGGACGAGATAACCTCAACCACTGGAGTCATTTGAGTAGCTGTCTTGCCCCCTTACCTGAGGACGAAAACAAATCCAGTTTCTGTGACGTTATATTTTCTAGCTTCTAGAATACAGGACGATTGACAAAATTAAAAAAACAGCAATTCTGAGAGTTATACACCATCGTCTGAGCCCTTTAGAATCTAGTTAAGGGTTGCTTGCTCAGGTATGATGTGCCCCGAGAGATGTCTTCATGCAAAGCATAGTGCTTTACGGATTACAGCAGTCCTCTTTGAGATTAATATTAAATGTTATGCAGACTGCAGATTTCGACTGGGACTCCAAGACTCAGGGTTTGGTCCTGAGTTCATTCTTCTATGGTTACATCGTAACCCAGATCTTGGGAGGCTGGCTGGCTGGTCGGCTTGGAGGCAACAGGGTGTATGGGATAGGCGTGGCTGCCACAGCGGTTTTCACCCTACTGACACCCCCTCTTGCTAACGCCAGCGTTTACCTGCTGGTAGCAGTCAGGGTGATAGAGGGGCTCTTCGAGGTGAGATACACATTACATATTTACCTTATTTTGGATTGTTAAACATTAAGAGTGTTATTAGAGTGATCAATTCATGGGCAGGTGCAATAGAAAGCTTTCCGATGTGAAACTTGGTATCTGACACTGAAGGAGGAACACATGTTGAGAGTGTTTAAGAACAGGGTGCTGAAGAGAATATTCGGACCTAAGAGGGATGAAATGGTAGAAGATTGGAGGAAGCTGAAATATGAAGAACTTCATAACTTGTACCCTTCGCCAAGAGTGATAGTGATGAAGGGTGAGATAAGTAGGGCATGTAGCTCGCATAGGGAATAAGAGAAAGTAAGATTTTTGTGGGAAATGCAGAAGGAAAGAGACCACTATGAGAACGTAGACGTAGGTGAGGGAATAATAGCAAGATGGATCTTAGATAATGGAATGTGTTGGTATGGACTGGAATGATGTGGCTCAGAATAGGGACCAGTGGAGGTTCATGTGAACACTGTTATGAGCCGTAATATTTTAGGAAATTCTTGAGAAGCTGAGCGACTGGTAGCTTCCCCAAAAAAGACTCATCTAGTTAGTTCCATGGAGTCACATCGTTTTTAGATCTCTTTGACCTGTGTTTAACAGTCCATTAAATATATCTCACGTCTTCATTTATAAGGCTTCGCGTGCCCTATGCCTTCTGTTCAGAACCCCATAGAGAGACTCTAAGTTGATAAGAAGCACACGACAATTGTGGAGAACCGTCGCAAATAAGACCACGTCTACTGACTCTTACAGGGCGTTACGTATCCCTGTATGCATGCAGTGTGGGCGCGATGGGCGCCCCCTTTAGAGCGCAGTCAGCTCGCCAGTTTTGCTGGCTCTGGCAGTCACGTGGGCACCGTGATTTCTCTGCCACTTGCGGGTCTTCTCGCCAAGAACTTCGGCTGGCCCTCTGTCTTCTATGTGTTCGGTAAGACCGTCTCAGCCTGTGCTGTACGCAGCGCCTGTCGCACTGTCCTAGCCTAGGTCCTAGGGACGTGACAGTTCAGGATCCCACTTCGGCGACTGTCTTCAGGGAACTCCGTATAGTCAGATAAATCGTTATCAGTGTTTCGGAGGAATATTCTGCTTCCATCTTCAGGTTAGATGAGTAACGAAAAGTGGTTAATGTTTCTCCTGAGTTTATTTCACCTACTATAGCGTCACTCAGAGCTATTATCCCCCTTATTTGTTTGACAGGAAGGGCAACTTTAGTTAAGTGTTTGCGTTGTTTCAATGGCACATTGTATCAATTCGCCTCTCAGTCTTCTACTGTCTACGATGTTCTTAATGAACTCTTGTATAGGAAAATTTTATAAACCCAGAAGCTTGACGGGAACGAAGGGTCATATAGCCATCTGTCCACTATCCGAATTTTGAAAAAGAAAAAAAAACTTAAAATAGGAAAAGAACGAAATATAGAAAATATCAATACCACAAATTAAAGTATTATTTTTTTAATTATTCTGGTATCCTGATTACGCTGAATGATCATTAATAAATACAGAGTGATTCTAAATTATTGTCGGGGTTTCCGTTGCCTGTAAACGGAAACGCCGACAATAATTTAGAATCACTCTGTAGTATTAAAGGCTTTAAAAGTGAGTAATATTTGAGGTTTTCACGGTGGTGACTATGAAGAACGCCATCTTCTGGGATGTGGCGCCGTGTAGATCTCGTGTAAACCGACGTTTCGGAGGAACATATCGCCTCCATCTTCAGGGTAGAAAAATAATCCGCTAGCGAGGTATCAACGTGAGCAGGTGGCTGCTGCAGATTTTTCTACCCTGAAGATAGGGGCGATACGTTCCTCCGAAACGTCGGTTTACACAAGATCTACAGGGCGCCACATTCCAGAAGACAGCATTCTTCACTTAAAAGTAAGTTTCTGGCTTTGTGCTCCTTGGAAAACTGGCTGTTCTCCCCCACCACACCCAGAAAAGGAAATCTTGGCAGGCCAGACGCAGAGAATGCATGTGTACCGTTTACTTTTTCCCCTTAATACTATTCCATTTGAACGGCTTTCCTTGCATGTCACACACCGACAAAAGCAGCTTCTAAATATTACTACTAGCGCTACCGAACAGATCCCTGTTTCAGGGGCGGCGGTGATTGTTTGGTTTTTCATCTGGTGGAAAGTTGTGAAGAGCGGACCTGAACAAGACCCACATATCTCTCCTCAAGAACTGAAATATATCCAAGATTCGCTGGGAAACTTTTCCCACAAGGTAAGATCTTGGACATCTGTCGCATATAACACACTGAAATTTTCATTGCTAAAATGACTGGACGAAGTTCGCATGTCGTGTGGAAAGCATGGAAGAAAGGAAATTTAAAGTAGCAGTTGCGTAAACATGGATGGGACAGGAGCTGATGTGGAGAAACAAGGTTCGGTGGGATGTCATTATTAAAACTGATTTTAAAGGAAATGGATTAAGCAGGCTTAGGACAGAAAATCCTTTGTTTCTGTACATTGTGACATGCCAGTAGCATATTAATTTACGTTGGGGCATAGAGTAAAGTCGTCCCTTTGCTTAACTAATTAAGCACTATGCCGTGATGGCGTATGGGGGACTTGATGTATAGATCCACATTTTCTTGACCTCGGTACCAATTCGAGGTGAGTGGTCAGCTTCGCGCCTCGGCTGTTTTATCCCAAGGGAAAATAGCTCCCGGTACCCATTGGACACGAGGTTGGGTGGACCCCTGAGCCGGTCTGGACGACGTGGAGAAGAGAAAATTCTTGCCCCTACCGGGATTCCAACTCCGACCCCTCGGTCGTCCAGCCCGTAGCTAGTCGCTATACCGACTGCGCTATCCCGGCTCCCTGGGTTCGGGCATACAAACCCGAATTTATATAAATAAGACCTCTTCATGTTATAGCATAATTTACTATCACAATATATCATTTTTTGTGTGCATAAATTTACGTTTTATCATAGGATGTGAAACACCCCTGGGGTCAATTTCTAAAATCTCCCGCTGTCTGGGCGATTATCGTCGCACACTTCAGCGAGAACTGGGGCTTCTACACGCTGCTCACTCAGCTGCCAACATTCATGAAAGGTAATCTGAAACTGAAGGATTCACATAACGTAGAAAGTGCAACCTGCATGGCTACTGAAGAAAATCTTGTTTACTCTTTTAAACTTCCTCTATTCTGCTTCAAAAAACACAGCAGTCCTAGCCGCAGTAGTGACAAACTACGAGAATTCGCCTGTTACATCTCTGTCCGTCCGTCAGTCCGAATGCAGCAACCCGAGAATAGCTAACAGGATTATTACGAAACTTGATATTGGAGACTTTTGGTAATATTGTGAAGCCATTTCAATTTTGGTTAAAATCAAATTAAAAAAAAAACAAACAAATACTTTTTAAGTTTTGAGGCTTTCACGGCGGTGACTATGAAGAAAGCAGTCTTCTGGGANAGAAAATCTGTAGGGAAACGGAATAAATTTATCGCCAATACAATTTTCGATGTAAGTTTTCTAAAACACACAAAGGGCTCTGTTCTTCTTGTGTTGACGAGTACTACTAAGAATAACCCTCACCTTCCTAATAACTGATTTTCCGATGTAACGAATTGTTTTTCACCTTCTTTCTATTTTATGTGTATTAACAGGTTTTCTCATGAGAATATGTTTCGGTGAGGACGTAGCCCCGTCAAATTTACATAAATGAATCAGTCAGCTTAAATTTCCTGTAAAAGAGTCCGGAAACTTCTGAATTGTGTCTGACATAGTATATTTGAGACTGCGTCAGAAACTGACGTATCCCATTACGTCTTATCAGAAAGTTTTTTCTTTTATTATTTTTTTATTGCTAGTGGGGTGGGACTAAGTCTCCTGTACTGCGGCCACTTCTGGCCTATTGTACCAGCCCCAGATGTTAGGTGAGGGTGATTGTGGAGCAATTGGTGGAATGAAAATTGGCAGGGGAAACCGAAGTACTCGGAGAAAACCTGCCCCAGCGCCACTTTATCCACAACAAATCTCACTTGACCAGACCCGGGATCGAAATCGGCGACTAACCGCTTGAGCTATGGGGTGGCCCTAAGTCACTAGATACTATCTTCAGTTCAAGATGAGAACCAACATCACCATAGCGCTGATCTCGTTGAAGAAACATGTTTCTTCTGTAAGGCTGTGTCTACTCAAGATATGACATAACCTCAACGACGTTTCAGACGTATTGTAATTAATATCCAAATTGCATTAAATACCTGAATCTCATTTGCTTACAATATAGATAGGCTGTTCTGTACTTTCTAGACCAGGAGATGCGAAACATTTTTGGAGCACAGACACGTTCTGTGTGGGATTTTGTATGGTGAATCACCCGAAAATTATTATTTTTTTTAGAATTTTGAATGGAACAAGAATGAAATTTAGTCAACAGTTATTCTTCCATGACTGCAATGTAAAGATCTGCTACAAAATCGCCATGTTTATTTATACATAAATAAAAGACCTTGGCTCTGAAGATGGATACGGAACACTTGAATGTCTCCCGCGGGCCACAATTTTGGGCAACGCCCTAGATATTTAGGCCCAGTAGACAGGTGTTCTGTTACAGCTAACATATCGCATTTTGAATGTTTCACTGCGCAGATGTGCTGCATTTCAAACTGGAGAAATCTGGGTTCATGTCCGCGGTGCCGTACCTGGTGATGGCCATCGTCCTTCAGTTCTCTGGGCGCTTGGCAGACTGGCTGCGAGCCAGGAAGATCCTTAGCACCACGCAGGTACGGTAGCACTTTGTACAGGAGTGTGTGACAGCCTCACAGTGAGACGCATTCAGAAAATGATCATGTTCTTGGTTGTTAACACAGGTCAGGAAGCTGTTCACGTGCGTAGCGTACCTCAGCCAGACGGTCTTCATGCTCCTGGCAGCCTTCCTTCTAACACCTGTTGGCTCCGTCGTCTTTCTTTCCGTTGCTGTTGGACTTGGTGGCTTCGCCTTAGCTGGCTTTTTGTAGGTATCTGAAGCTTACTAAAGTAACTATCCTAACCTGTAGTTGTTTCAGCACTTCCTCTAGGCAGAGTGTAAGAGATAACCGTGGAGGCCCACAGGGCTGTGAGACGTCGAGGCTCCCATATTTTCTAGAAAATTGGTTCACAGATGGCGGTGAGGTTATCAGCCATACGCGCCGGCCGCCTTTTACCATCAGGAAAATTCCTGGTACTCATTTCTGTTAGAGGCTGAGTCGACCCCAGGGTCATAGTGCGGCTGGAAGGATTAGGTCAATTGAAAATCCCATTAACCTAATCGGGAATCAAACCCCCTACCTTCCGGCTTGTAGCATAGTGTCTCAGCCAACTATGCTACCGCATTAAATAAGAAATCAAGAGAACATCGTGTGCTTGAGGCAAGGTTACCTAACGGTAAGCAGAGCCGATTTGAAATAGTTGGTTGTACTGACAGTTTCCTGTAAGCGTTCGAGTATCGATATAGTTTCCATGTATAGTTACGTTTCTAGTTCTAGAGGCAGTTATGACTCCGACCCGTTTCTCTGATTCTTTGAATAATTAGGGTGATAACTCGAGAGGTTGCTAGCTTGCTCCTGGCGATAACTGCCTGTCTCTCGCTGCATAAACAGGCGTCTAGCATCATTACAAGGAATAAGACGAAGTTTTCACAGGCGAGAAACAGGATTTTGTGCTTGAACGAGTACTATTTCTAGTTAATATCGTATATAATATTGTCAAAATCGGGGCGGGCTGGGGAGGTAGGAAGAACCGGGTATCTGCTATCTTACTAATTTTTATAAAGAATCCAAAATTTTAGAAAAGGAAATGTGCCAAATAGATATAAAACTGTGCGTATTTTAAGGAATTTTTCATATCTTGAAAGAATCCAGAGCTATCAGTAAAAATATTCTTAAAGAACTTAAAAGCAAGACGGTGAGTAAATTTTCTGTCTTTCCCCTTGAAAAAAAAATCCCAGCGGGACCCATGATATTAAACGATTATTACACATAATTCTGAAGAAATATTTCCATATAGGGCCGAGAAATTGAGCAGCTCAACTTTCTCCTAACTTTATCATACTTCATAAATGTCGAAAAGAAAAAGAAACCTTAAGAAACTAATATCTGTTCACGTATTTAAGAAATTCTCAGCATTTTATGGAACCCGACGGTTCAGTATTGTGTTCATAACAGCAATCCATTAGTCCCCAGCCTGAGCCAGACGAATCGAGCCCACATCTTCCTATCCCATATGTTAAAGATCCGTTTTAATTTTATCCTCCCATCTATTCCTGGTTCTCCCATGTGGTATTTTCCGTTCAGGTTATCTTATAAAAATTTTGTATGCATTTTCCTTTCCTCTCATTTTTTGCTACATGCCCCGCCCACTTCATCCTCCTTGATCTGATAGTCCTAATAAGCATTTTCATGATTCAAAACGTTGCTGTTGCAGTGTGAATCACCTGGACATTGCACCTCAACACGCTGGCGTGCTCATGGGGCTGTCCAACTGCGTGGCCACTTTGCCGGGCATTGTCAGTCCTGTTGTTACGGGCTTCATCGTGCAAGATAAGGTGCAGTGACTCCGAAACGCATTTAATTGGAGGAAATAATGTGGAAGTTTTAAAATGACGTATAGTGTTAGCTAGTTATTCAGATATTTTATGATATCATGTTCACTGTTTACCGTAAAAGGTAAAGTTGTTTCTCTGCTTAATTAATTAAGCATCGCGCCATGAAAACGTGTGGGGGAACGTAACAACCCCTGCGAGAAAAGCCCCCAACATTCATTGGATAGGAGAATGTGTGGGCCCAAAGTAAGTCTGGACGCTGTGAATTAGTGACAAATCTTTAGCCCCTGACGGGAATCGAACGCAGGACATCCATCCCGTTGCCCATCGAAATAGTAACTGAGCTGTCGCGACTCCTGTGTAAAACTTATCATAACTTATGCCGAATATTATTTAGATGAAATCCAGAATATAAAACCTTCAATAAGTGCTAAGGTTTTTACGCTCTAATTTCTGCGCAGAAGGTTCTTAACTTCGAGTCGGTTTCGGAGAGTTACACGTGCCATCTGCCAAACGGAAAACAATCTCTTATGGGCCATCCGTGACAATTAATTCAGTTAAACAAAGATAAAGTTATCCCTGTGCTTAACGAATTAAGCACTACGCCATGAAGAAGTATGGGGGAGTGGATGTATAGATCCACGTTTTCTTGACCTCGGCACTAATTGGAGGTGAGTGGTCAGCTTCACGTCCCGGCCGATTTACCCCCGGGGAAACAATGCCCAGGTATCAATTGGATAGGAGACTGGGTACGCCCCAGAGCCGGTCTGGACGACATGAAGAAGTGAAAATTCTTGACCATACTGGGACTCGAACCCCGACCCCTTGGTCATCCAGCCGGTAGCCAGTCGTTATACCGACTGAGCTACCCTGGCACCTCAATTAATTCAATTAGTTCTTTTAAAAAACGGTGGCTATTGTATGCACCAACAAACTCTGAAACTATGCGTTAAACCCATCATTATTTTTTTAGTATAATCCTTAGAATAAAAAGCTGTTTGTTTCTTAACAGCATTGACTGGATGGTCTTGGTAATGGACATGCAATGTCTTCTGCAAGGTAGCTGAGGTATTTAGATCGTTAAGAATACCGTCTTATGGGACATGACGTCATGTAATGCTGGCAGTAGCGTGGGAAATTGTGAAGTCGAGAAAACAGTCTTCTGGGATTTGGCACCGTGTATATGTGGTGTTAACCGACGTTTCGGAGGAACGTATCGCCCCCATCTTCAGGGTTGAAGAAAAAGTATAAGTAAATCTGCAAGCGACAACACCGTGAGACACGGTCAAACAGAC